CAAAGGAGTGGCACCGTAAGAAGCATTTGAAGGTCCTGGAGTGGCCTAGCCAGTCTCCAGACCTCAACCCCATAGAAAATCTGTGGCGGGAGTTGAAAGTCTGTGTTGCTCGGCGACAGCCCCAAAACATCACTGCTCTCGAGAAGATCTGCATGGAGGAATGGGCCAAAATACCAGCTACTGTGTGTGCAAACCTGGTAAAGACCTATAGTAAACATTTGACCTCTGTTATTGCCAACAAAGGTTATGTTACAAAGTATTGAGTTGTATTTTTGTTATTGACCAAATACTTATTTTCCACCCTGATTTACGAATAAATTCTTTACAAATCCTACCATGTGGATTCATGGATTTTTTTTTTCACATTCTGTCTCTCACAGTTGAAGTGTATCTCTGGTGCAAATTACTGACCTCTGTCATCATTTTAGGTGGGGGAACTTGCACAATCGGTGGCTGACTAAATACTTTTTTGCCCCACTGTATATAGTATATACATTGGGTGAATGTGCAGTAGTAGCAGCAAGCAGGTGAATTCTGTACATTAATATGAATAGACGTCTGACTATTTTACAGGATAGACAATATAAACATGTTTAAAATTAAAGGAATTTGAAATATACATTGTTCCTTGGTTTAGTGTCTGGAAGAGAGTCCTGTCTCAGTCAATTATAGATGATGTGAGATGATGTGAGCGGGCGGGTGTGTGTGTTTAGGGCACGGATGGCTTGGGGATAGAAGCTCCTCTTGAGTCTCTCTGTCCTTGCCCGGAAGATGCGGAACCTTCTACCAGATTGCAGAAGTTGGAACAGTTTGTTGCCAGGATGGGACGGGTCCTTCAGTATCTGCGCTGCTCTAGTCCGGCATCTCCTGGTGTAGGTGTCCTGAAGCGGGGGGAGAGCAATCCTGCAGCAGCGTTCTGCTGTATGGATCACTCTCTGGAGAGCTTTTTGGTCCTTCACACAGCTGTTCCCAAACCACCCTGCCCACCCTCACCACCTGAGTTCTGCCAGTGAGGAAGTCCAACACCCATGCACACAGACGGCTGTTAAGTCCCAGATCCCTGAGCTTTGTGAACAGTCTGCAGGGCACTATTGTGTTAAACGCTGTCTGTGATCATCTTCAGTTCTTGCTTGTTTGCTTGAAATGCTTTCCTGCCTGTAGTTTTGTGTTTAAGAACTAAAAAACATTCAGGCAGCTTTTTAGTTCTATTGTGTTGAGATTGGGTAACTGACTTGGCAATTGAGGTATACTACATTCCTTTGCCTTGAGAAACTATTGGATTGCTTTGCTTATACTTCACAATTCATCCTGCTACTTATATCAGCAGTCATAGCTTCAATAAATACTAATGACCTGATTCCACTGTCAAACAGTCATGCTTTACCATAACATAACCTCCACTGTTTTTGATAGATAATGAAGTATGCTTGAAAACCCAGAGGCCTCGTCCACCTAGCACTGTCTAAATGAGGGACTTAATATCTAGCCCCAAGATAGTTGATAAAGTACAGCATTCCAAAATATGTACACATGAAATTACAGTACCGGTGATTTTAAAAAATGCAGTATTTAGGATTAACAGATGCAATAAAATGATTAAAAATAATGATTCTGTAATTTGTCTAAATGAGAGAAATGCAGTAATGCTGTAAACAGGAAGTCAGCAGGGTCATCATATATGGCACAACAGGAGACATGTACCATCAAGAATGATCTTAGCAGGAGGGGAAATAGGTGCAGTAGAATTTTTGAATGACAATAAAAATGGGTGATTTTGTATTAATGGACTGTTGCAAAAAATTAAAGGAACATTCTCAAAACATATCAGATCTCAATGGGATCTAATGGACTGCGATTCACCTTTCCAGCACCCTGACATAGACTTTGATGGGGAGGCTGAGGAGTGTGATCTCCTTATAGTTGGAGCACACCTAATGGTTCCCCTTATTAAAGATGGGAACCATCACCCGAGTCCACCAGTTCTCAGGTACTGCCACCTGACATTGTAGACCTGTGCCAATCAAGACAAACCTACAACATCCAGAGCCTTAAGGAACTCAGAGCGAACCTCATCCACCCCAGGGGCCATGCCACCAAGGAATTGTTTAACTGCCTCAGTGACCTGACCTCCAGTGATGTATAACTCCCTTCACAAAGCTGAACTCCCCTACTGTACTTCAGAGAAGGAGTGCCTTTCTGTGATATGGGCCCTTGAACACTTTCACCCATATGTTGAAGGCATTCATGTTACTATGTTCACTGACCACAACAGTCTCAGGTGGCTCATGTCTCATCAAAACCCAACACTCCGACTCGCCCGCTGGTCACTTCACCTGCAGGCCTTTGATTTCACACTAGTGCACAAACTTGGCGCACATAACAAAGTTCCAGATGCGCTGTTTACCTCTGACTTGTGAGAGGCCGACAGAACACGCTGTCATAGGCAGCCTGGACCTTTGGACTCTTAGCTCTCTGAACAGCTAAGACAGTGCTACCTTGTTACAGTATGTTGTGTATTGTAACAGTTGCTGTTGTAATGCATTGTATCACCACATGGTGGCGCCTCCTGGCTCATGACTGGTGTGTCACCCCCTTTTTGTTCTTCTTCGCACTGTCCCTGTAATGGATGCTCTTGTGTGTATGCGGACTAGTGTGCCCTCGAGTAATGTGTGGTAGAGGTAGCACTTTTATTTGACTACTTGTGGAGAGGCAGAAGCTGTTGCTCATTCGCTATCCACCTGCACACCTCCGCGGCTGACTTCATCTCCACCGCACGTTACAGTATGACTCTCTTTTGTATCACAGAGACCCCAAGTCTACATGTGCTTTGCACCCTTTGAAAGAGCTGATACTGTTTGCCCCTGTTTCCATGAGAGGCGCCTTGCTAGTCTATTACCATGATCACCCCACAGCAGTTCACCTGGGTGTTTCTAGGACACTGGCTGGACTGTGCTTTAGGTTTTTCTGGCCCAAAATGGCAGCTGATGTGAAGCACCGTGTGACTTTATTACTGATGTGAAGCACCATGTGACTTTATGCTCAGTGTGCCAACTCACCATACCAAATCAGAAAAAAAGCAGCAGGTCTTATGGTTCCCATTGTCCCCCAGAAACCCTGAGAGTAGGCTATGTGGATTTTGTTGGGCCAGTGCCCTGCACCCCCGCTGGTAATGCATATTTGATTGTGTTTGTTGACTATTTAAATAAGTGGGTTGAAGCCAGTGCTGTCAAAGAAGCTACATCTCAGGTAGCAGCTGGTAAATTTGTTACTGACATTTTTGCTAGACACGATACACCCACTTACCTGATTTCTGACAGACGGTCTCCTTTTGTGAGTGAGCTTTTTGAACAGGTTGTTTCTGCTTTAGACTCGGTGCACAGACTCACTACAGCATATCTCCCTCAGACAAATGCTACTGAACGCTTCTACTGGACTCTGAAGACTGCAATCTGCTCTTATGTAGGTGATAAGCACACATCATGGGACAAGTTTCTCCTTCAGATTTGTCGTGAGTTGGACACCCCACTTGACCTTATCACTCAGCCTTTTACAGCAGGTGTTGATGAACCGGGTGTACTTTACCCTGAGACTCTTAAAGCCTCCCCACAGGGAACTCACAACCAAACCAGAGCGGATCTTGACTATAGCCATGGCAGACAAAAACATTACTATGACTTGAGACGTCAACATGCCACATTTCGTTTTGGTGACCTTGTTAGAGTTAGGACACAAGCAAGGTCAGACGCTCAGTCTAACTTTACTGTTAAACTTGCACCATTGTTTGAGGGACCATTGTGTGTATCTCAGAGACCCAGTTATGTTAACTACAGGCTCACTTGGGTGGACTCCGGTGTGGATGCAGGTGTTTATCATGTTGTGAACATGCAACTGTTCCATAACTGGGACTCTCTCACTTCCAAGGAACATTCTGTTTCATCTCATGCTGTCAGAGAGACCACAAAGGATCTGGACACTGACCCTCAGGCCCACCCTGCCCCCAAAAGATGGACAAATGATTTTCACATGACTGGGCTTGATCTGAAGTGAAATGTTTTGATTAAACCTATTTCATGTTGTCTTGGTGCACTGCAATTTTGAGTCATGAAGGTGTAGACTTTTCTGTTCACTCTTCTTAATCCAGTTGTATGGCTCTTTAGTGTGTTAAGGTTCACGTTCTTTGAAAAACAAAGAAAACAGACTTTGCACTGTACATATTCATTTCATTTTATTTTTGCCAAATTCATTTTTAAATGGTCTTTTGCCCTGTGTGTGTTGTGATCTTAGCTGTAACGTCTATGTACAGGGTACTGTTAGGTGTGGTGTGTGCTTCTTTAGCTGTGGGGACTGTGTAACAGTTGCTGTTGTAGTACAGTGTATTGCTGCATGGTGGTGCCTCCTGTCTCATGACTGGTGGGTCACCCTTTTGTTCTTTTTTGTAATGGATTCTTCCATGTGTACGCGGACGAGTGCGTTCAAGTAATGTGTGGTAGAGGTAGCACTTTTATTTTTGATATTTGAAATAAATGAGTACTTGTGGAAAGTTAGAAGTTGTTGCTTATTCTCTATCCACGAAAGTTAAACCACTTAAAAATAACTGAGCACACGCTTCTAACAAAGGTTAAATTGTTAGAAGTTTTTCTTTGTTGCATGTTTTTTCTTTGTTGTATAATCTCGGTGCCTTCAGTTGCCAGGTAGTTCCTGGAAAGCCAAACTGCAGAAGCAAAAGTGTCAAAGGGATAAACTCAACATAGTGCTGGAGGCAGGTTTAATCATCAGTCAATGTGGCAAACTGAAACTGCAAGAAAAATATTAAATTCAGTCACCTCATACTGTAATAGCCTATAAGTATAGCACATGATGGTAATCTCTTTAGGAATGAGACAATGAAATGAGACAGTTATAAACTAATGAAATCACATTTATTTATTGCTTAAACACATTAAAACTGTTTTGTGATTCTGACAAAATTCTTAAATATAAATTATATATTAATAGCCTGTTGTAAATCTTCCACAGTAGCATCAAAAGGCATCCAAGCTGTCTCATTCGGAAGTGATGTCTTGACTGGTGGCATTTCAGGATGTTCCAAATGGAGTTTTGTTTCTAAAAGTTGTCTAAATCATCATTCCCTTAGCAGATAGTAGTTGCTTATTACATTATACTGGGGAATGAAATGCAGCTTTGGAAACTAAGAAATTGCTACTTTATGTGCACAGGTTAAAATGAATCAAATATTATACAATTTCATCTATGAAAAGATTAACTATAACTATGTAAGAGAGGATATTAATGTTAATTTATGTAGTGAATTCAATATATATGTTTACTTGGATCTTTTTTTAGCAGGCAATGATAAAACAAATAAACAAAATGTACGTTATTATACCACGTTCCCATTTTCACCCCAAAAATAAAAAAATAAAAATATGAGATGCTCAATTACACCTTTACAAAAATGCAATGGCTCATATTTTAAAAAGAGTTAAAAGTATTACTTTTCTAAAACTGATTTTGATTCAGTTCTAGTTAAATTTCTGTTTATATACCTTACTTAAAAAGCAGTGAAAAAGCAATGCTGATCCAGACATAATGTGTTACATTCATTGTATGACCTCTAGTGGATGCTCTGTTAGCTGCAGCAGTAGTCACCGAGGGAGTCACTGCAGTGGTTGTAGGGACAGGAGTAGTTGTAGGTACTGGTGTAGTTGTAGTCAGAGAGGTAGTTGTAGGTACTGGTGTAGTTGTAGTCAGAGAAGCAGTTGTAGGTACTGGGATAGTTGTAGGTACTGGTGTAGTTGTAGTCAGAGAAGTAGTTGCAGGTACTGGGGTAGTTGTAGGTACTGGTGTAGTTGTAGTCAGAGAAGTAGTTGCAGGTACTGGGGTAGTTGTAGTTATAGTAGCAGGCGTGGCAAGTACTCTAGCTTGCCCCATACATGTCCCCACGTTTCCTGCCCTGTCCACAGCAGCTAGAACCACATTCTGTGAACAGCAGGAGGCAGTGTAGGTCACCAGTGTGATATTCTCACCCCTTGCTCCAACCGCTGTGCTAGTATCAAGGGTACCATTCCCTTCGCGGAGGGTGATGCTTGCGATGCCAGTCCCATTGATGCCGTCAGTGAGATTAGCAATGAACTCCCACTGAGATGATGCACAGAGGATGGAAGAGACATTACAGATACCTGATATATTAACTACCTGGCACACTGGACTGGACAAATCTGTGGCCTGAAAAAAGAGAGAGAAAGGAGATCAAGTAGTCAGAACGACAAAAGAACAGGAACAAAAAAAATCTGGTATAGATGCTACCTTATATCTCTGTTCTTTCATACTTTCAGCGTTTTCTTTTGTTTTTGAATATTACTTATAAAATGTGTGTGAAACGACTAGTGATGGGAATTCCGGCTCTTTTTAGAGAACCGGCTTATCGGGGGGGGGGGGAAGGGGGACGGGACCTTGGTTCAGGTGGTTGGGAAGCTCGTCTGTAACCGGAGAGTCGCCAGTTTGATCCCCCAGCTCTCTTTGTCCTGGTCGTTGTGTCCTTGGGCAAGACACTTTACCCTACCGCCTATTGGTGTTGGCCAGAGGGGCCGATGGCCCGATATGGCAGCCTCGCTTCTGTCAGTCTGCCCCAGGGCAGCTCCAGTGTGTGAATGTGAGAGTAAATGAATAGTGGAATTGTAAAGTGCTTTGGGTGCCTAGAAAAGCGCTATATAAATGCAATCCATTATTATTATCCTCTTCAGGGTCACCGGAGCCTATCCCAGCTGTCATAGGGCAAGAGGCGGGGTAAACCCTGGACAGGTCACCAGTCTGTCTCAGGGCTAACACATAGAGACAGACAACCATTCACACTCAGGCAATTAACCTATTCCCCACTAACTGCTTGTCTTAGCTCGCATCGGTCACTTCAAAGAGTCGGCTCTAAGAGCGACGTTCGTTTGCGACCGACCCATCACTAGTAATGAGATATTATTGTTTACAGAAAAACCTATGTCCTGAATTAAAACTAACTTTAATTGATATTATGGGTTATAAATCCAGACATTTCATTCAAAATGACCCACAAAATTTGTACAACCCCGATAGTAGTATTACTGTTTCATTTTTTGGCAAATCTAGGCGACAAAAAGAATTTAGCACAGTGGTCAAATGACCCTATGCCAAATAACAAATTGTTTTTAAAAACCATTGAACAGCTGTAGAGTGCAAAAGAACATTTTGTTTTTGGATTTACTAATACAATCATGATCAGAAAGTTAACAGATTAATCAATGGATTTCTTGGATGAAATTTGTAGCATGACCCTTTACATTGTCCACGCAGTGAATCATGTTTTTTTTCTTATTTTGAACTAGAACATATGCAGTACTAATTCATCACTGAGCTGATTCTTTTAAAAGCTCTCCTCAGATCACAGTTGAAGTATTATGTAAACTGAAACATTTGGCATTTGACAATACAGAACAGTGATACATTTAGTTTGGATTATTAGTTTTTTTTAAATGTAAAACACTGTTTTTAGTCTCATTTCACCTAAAGTCTTTTTTCTTTTACCTTGGCAGCCACAGAAAATCGGAGGACAGCATAGTTGATGTCAGTGGCAGCAGCGTTTTGTGCCTGAATGGTGAGGGTCACGTCTGTTCCTGATTTAGTGCTGGCTGGAACACTTAAGGTTATTGTCCCATTGGCTTTGCCTCCATCGCTTGGACCAATATTGACATTTCCAGGTGAGGTGAAGTCAAAGCTGCGGTCATTACTGACTTGCACTGTGAATGTCCCAGTTACATCCGAAGACACTGTAAAAGGAATGATGATGCGAGTGCCTGGTTCTATGTTGATACTGTCAGCTTGTGCCTGGAAAAGTAGCGATAGAAGAGGGCAGGAAATTTGAAGTTAAACAATCACTTCTTTCTTTTATATAATGACATAGAAAATAACATGACAGTGGTTGTTGAGTTTATCCAGGCAGATAAGATGTTTAGAAACTGGCTCTAGAAATTCAAAAAACAACATATGACTCTACTACTCACAGCAACAGAGAGACTAGCTGTTGTGATGCGGGTGGAGGCTTGTCTCTGGAAGGTATCTGAGGTAGACCGGGATGTGGTGCTGGTGTCCTCACCTTGCAGTCGAACTACATAGTCTCCTACTGGGACTTCAGTGAATGTTACCAGAAAGTTGCTGTTTTCTAATGACTGTGGAAAACAGAAAGATAGCAACTGAGAGCACCTTATGCATGTTTAGATGCATAAGTTAGTTGTTAGATGGTGGCAACAATCAGTAATCAGAGTAAACAAGCAGCCACCAAAGACCAATGTTATTTATGTATCTTTTACTTCTTGGTGTTTTCTTAAGCTGTTGTAGAACTACAAAAGTTATGTTTATAACACTATGTTTGACAGTGCAGTTAGCACAGACTAAAAGCGACTAAGTCTAGGAATGCTTGCTGTGGTCTGTTGTAGTTTCAGTTGTAATTTTGACCTTTTACATTTATCAGGTGTAAAATATGACATGCCTGTATTGATCCAATCAACTCCTTTGGCCCTGAACTGTCGAAGAGCGTGAGCTTTGTGACTGTTACTGTATCACTTCCTGTCACAGTGACCAGGAGAGTGACATTACCACCTGAAAATGATAGCAAGCCACAAAAGAGTATTATTACAACAGATCCTTAGACTGTACGTGAATCTTCTTTAAACTTAAAAGTTTATGTTTATCTAAACAAAAAAGTTGGAAGTTTTCTACCCAGAAACATAAATCAATGTAATCATTTTTCATGACTATTTAGGTCATCTCAGTTTCCCACAAACCAAATGATACATTTTTGTTTAGTCAACCTGTAGCAGGACGGCCTTCCTTGGGTCTGATTCCACCTTCCTTTTGTAATTCAACAAGGTTATAGATGAAGTTCACTGAACTTTGACCTTATGCACACAGAAACCACATCTAAGTTAGAAATATTATACCACTGAAAACATTTTCTACAGACTATTTCTTAATTATATTACAGACCTGTGACTTTAATAGAGTAGGGACTGTTAGAGTTGATGTGGATTTGCCAAAAACCCGTTTGATTTCCAGCATTGAGCCTTATTCTGCGTAGGTTTCCCACTGTTGTTATGGATGCCAGAGAACCACTGGTCTGACTTGACTCCTGAGACACTCCTGAAAAGAGGAAAATGGCTGAATTATTTACCAGCATGACAATGGAATTTTCTTCCTCCTCCTAAATTTGTAATTGTGACTGTTGTTGTTTTTATTACTACTGTGCTATTACTGCAATTCATGGGTGTGAGACACTTGCAAATTACTCCACTTCTGTAATAGGCAAATGAATTCCAATCCACCTGCACAGTTACTACTAAATAAGAATGTAAAATTATGACTAGTACCACTACTGTACATTCTTAACCTTCACCTGACTGCCCAAACAACAGATTTGCACAGGAGAAATCAAAAGGCAAAAAGCAGAGACCAGAGATCAGGTCAGATGAGGAACTTCCAGAGAGCCAAAGAAATAAAGCAAAGCTGACACAAGGTGGGAAGTGCCTTGTCTTTGTGAAATATTATGTTTTAGAAAACTGATGTCCAAAAAATATCGTTGAACTGAACCTGCTGAGCTGGTGAGTGTGAAAGTGAGAGATGAAACTCCGGTGATGTAAATGATGACGTTGCTTACTGATGAATCAACAGTAAAATTAAAATTATCAGGTCGCCCCGGATCCATTACTACCTGGAAAACTGTCACCTGAAAGACAAAGAAACAGAAGCTCCAGTGAGAAAGCAATTTTGAAAGAAAATCTGTTAAATATCTGGCCCCAACTTATCAAAAATGTAGTCCTTCACAATTTGTAAACATGTTAAGTAATTCCTGTTAATGCTCAGTGTCTCACCACAGCACCAGCTGATGAATCTTTTATAACAGTAGTGGCCAAGGAAAGATCTGACTTCCTGACTTCAATAGCCTGACCTCCAGAAGCTTGGGCCAGGTCTCTGTATAGCTGGACATTTGTTAGCCTCACTGCACGAGGTGAAAAATTTTGACCATCAATACTGCGGCGCCGCCGACTGGAAAAAATGTTTGTCAACAGGAAAGACACCTGAAAGTGTAGGGATAGAAAAAATGCATCAGTTTATATATATCACGCTCAGTGGAAACTGGATAAGTTCTATCTAAAGTATCAAAGAGACCTAAAGTGACCATTCAGTACATGGATAAATGAAACTATTTACTGAGGTGTTGCTCTAGGATTGGACTAGCTTGAGTAAAACTGACTTTTTTGTAAAAAAAAGAAAAAAGAAAAAAAAAGCTTTTGTAAAATTTGATAATGGACTGGCATTTATGTTGCCATCAAGCTATATTGACCCTTTTCACCAGTAATTATTTAGCAGCTATCTACGTTTCACTCATATCTACAGCTAATTCAAAAAATATTAATTAATTCACCATGCAGAATTTTGTATACAATTGTGCAAACACACAGGCGGTGAAAGAACATGTAAACTCCAAACAGGCCTGGATACCCAGTGTTTAAAACCCAGAACCTCCTTACTGTGATCCTACAGTAATAAACACGGCACCACTGTGCCACACTGTACTTTTCTCCGCCAGAGTATTAACCTTTTTTTCTGTTGTTGTTGTTTTGTTTTTTTACACATTTTTGTAAGCTGGAATTACAATTCAGAATTTATTTATTTTTACATTTCAACAAAGAATACTCTTTCCTTTCTGCATGTTTTTATTTGGCAATTTCTTCATCAGCTGAACTAACATATAAAGTGCAACAATAATAAGAATGCAACTTATCCTCACACATACCTCAGTCTTGGTTCTCTCTATAAGGGCAATGTTGGTGCTTTTTAGATGGGAATCTTTGGCTGAAGCATCAGTGAAGACATAGATTTTAGAGGAAGGTGGAGCTGATGTCAGCGCAAGCTGTCAGTTATACAAATGACAGAAGAATTAAACATTATTTGTTGTGATTTACCAGATGTGCAAAACTGTAATTCAGAAAGTGATTAAAAAAGTAACAAAAAAGCAAGTTCTAATAATGCATGCACACAGTCATTCTGTTATTACATAATAGGACACAATAGGTTCATATTAATTTCCTAACTATGTTGTTACGGCAATAGCAGGGCCTCCTCCTGAAGGTGCCTGTGTGGGCGTGTCCCACCACCTCTTCTGCCTGAGGTGTCACCTTTCCCTGTTACACAGCTGACTCACATCAGTAATTAAAAGTATTTAAGCCCAGGGAAAGGTGAGCTCTGGGCCAGAGTGCCATGAGTGTGGTTACAGCTAGTGAGCTGTGTTATTGTGGTTTGCAGCTAGTGAGCTGCTCTCTTTCTTTTTGGCTTACGTTTTACTTTATTGACCACGCCTGAGTTTTGTTTGTTTTCTTAAATGGTGATAGCTGCTTGTCCGTCTCTTTTAGTTGAGCTACTTTAATAAAACTCTTTAATTTAACCCTTTTGCCTCCTTGACTCCTTTTTCTAACCCGGTCACTTTTTGTTACTCTCCCCTCACCGCCTAGACCCCTCAGGGGAACGTAACAATGTCCTTTGCACTACCTGCAAATACCCCATTTCTTCATCCTAAAAGTTCATAAGTCACATCACACTAATTACTGTGTAAGCACACATCCCAATGATAGAATACAAGTACACTCACTCGCAGTCCAGACATGCTCATCTCTGGTTCATCCCCTCCTCCGGATGCAGTGAGCTTGTTGATTTCCTTTTTGAAGTAGTTTTTGTCAGTTGTCTTTATCACGGGTCCAAATTCTTTTTGGGGGACAGAGAAATACATGAACTTGCAGATTTTTGTACTGTATATGTGCTTTGTTTGTTGGCTCTCTTTGGCAACATGGGGAATATCCATAAAAGTGGAAGTACCTGGGTCATTGAAAGGTACCAGTATGTACTGAGAGGGTTCCTGTAGCGTTCCTGCGTTACTGTCAATTATGTTAAAGGCAACTTGTTTTGCTGCATCGATGTCATCAGCCATACTGCCTGTAGTGTCAATGACAAAACACAGTGCATAGGACTGGGAGAGGCCCATCAACCTGGAGGAACATAAGTGAAAAAACAAAATCATCCCTTTGTTATTCTGTAAGGAACCCAATTTCTCTACATTCAGAATGATGCCGAGGTATCTTTGCAGAAACATGTGCATCATAAAAAGCATCACTTTTAAGATACATATTATCTTCTGTGAGGAAGGCTTTTTACTATTTTTTTCCTTGAAAGCTGTGTCATGAAAATAAATATAAACTGTTTCAAATTTATTAGAGTTCTAGTAACCATTTCATGAGTGCAAGAATGTCTCTGATCAATTTTTCCCGTACCGCAAGAAGTTCCTGTCTCCAGCAGCTAGTCTGATGTCCTCCAGCAGCTCCATAGTAGCATCCACTGCCAGATTAGCTGCTTTTTTGTGCAACGTGCCATGATCTGATGTAAAAGAATCCTTATTGATGCCCCCAACTGGGTCCCTTTTTCTTGTCTTGTCAAGTAGACCACCATGGCTACATTTACCTGGACAAAAAAATAACAAATTACATTTAATTATACCTAGATAAATAGCTGAATAAATGATCAATAAGACAAAAAACATCCAAAGAGTTTTATAGTTGGGGTATGGCAATGAATAGGTGAGTTTAGGTAATCTTTAAATTAAATTCAAGGTGGGACAACACATCTATTTGTTGTAATATTTAAATTTGTAGCTTGTGGGAATTCATTACTGTGAGATGCTGTTTACATTTTCTAATCAAAAAACAAATACCAAAAACAAACAAAACTACAGAAGCCAATTTAGTTTCAGTGTTGATTACAATTTACTCATTCTGCTGGTTTGATAAACAGTCCATTTGCTATGAAACAAGCAAACAAAAGAAAATAATAATACAAATCCTAATAGTTTGCTGTTATACACAAATGAATGTGATTGTTACCAGTAGGCTTTGAAGAAGAGAATGTGCTAAAGTAGCCTGAGGTCAGGAGCCCCTGTTTCAGCACTTCAGGCAAAATGTTATCAGTGCAGGCATCTCCTGTACAGCTATTACAAGTTGGAGTAGATGGACCTGGAGCAAAGCAAGAGAAAGGTTATCCATAAAACCATCTGGAAACAGGTTGTGACATACAGTATTTAAAGGTGGGCCATCTATGCTTTGGCGATAAGACTTGGTTTGAACTGTGCTTTTGTAAAATGATTTTGGCTATTATATCTTTCCTATTTATCCCCTTTATCTCCCTTATTGCAAGTGTGTGTCCGTACACACCCCACCAGGTAAATTAATTAAAACAAGTGGAGACAAATGTGTTTCTTACTGTGATTAAAGTTGCTGGAAGGCTTTTACCTGCTAGGTTCTGCAGTGGTTGATCTGGTCTGATCAGAGCGGAGTAAGGAGTGGTTTTCCCCAACTCCACCCAGTTACTGTGGCTGTAAAAGTCCTTAATGTATGGAAAATCTAACATTATTTCCAATCCTATCACTGCTTCCTACTTCCAAAATCTTAACATCATCAAGTTTAAATAAAAACAATAATTATCACTCTCACCTGAATTATGTGACAAATTTGTCCAAGTACCTGTCTTGCAGCAACAAAATTCTCCGACTTCACACTAGCCTTCATGGCAGACATATCTCAAACAAAACATATAACCTTAAGAATCCAGTATAAGTGAAACCTAATGAAGCAAAATTCTGATTTTTGTTGCACCTATCATTTAAATGTTTTTTAATTGGTGTATAGGAATAGAAATTAATTAAAAATTCAAAATAATCTACTATCTGTGTTGTACTGAACGTAAACATGTTTAATTTTGAGGACTTTAAAGTGTACCTCTTGTGATGATGTCCCGTCCTCCCAGGAAGGTCTCACTGTGAAAATGGAACTCAGGGAAATCGACCAATGAGAAATACACTTTTTCGTTGCTACCGTAGATCTCATTAAGGGCAGTTTGGAAAATGTCAGTAGAGAGCGGAGCGGTGGAGGTAGATGAGGAGAAACAGGCCTTTTGCACCTCCTGAACTGAAAGGTTGTCATCAATCTGGAGACAAAGAAATGCCAAGTGCTTAACTGGACATTTGGAAAAATCTCAAAATGTTAAATTTCACAGTTATGTTAGACTAAACATGAATGCATAAGCAGTGACCCTGTTTTAAATGATAATGAGCCCACATTCAAGTTGAAGTCTCTTCCATCAGCGGCGGCAAGGTCTCGGCAAACCTCAGCTGTCTTTCTGAGAACTGCCTTTCTGGTGATGTCACGATGAGTTTCATCAACAGAGAAGGATGGTTGAAATCCATGGGTTAGACCTGGTAGGTAGAGACAAACTGCCACCAGGAGCATGACTGTGTGTTTGACAGCCATGATGGACAGTGTTTTACTAAAGGAACAAGAGAAAGGGAATATAACAGTAAATACTAAATGTTAAACATTATTGTGCAGCACGTAAGATCGACAGCGCACAGTGTGCTTTAAGGTAGGAGCCAAAAAGGGTGTAGTTTGTGTATGTGAGCACTCGTGTGTACACCTGTGAGCATGAACGCGCTTGTTTTTAAAAGGTTCCTACATGTAATGATCTGTTAGAGGGTGAGGGGAGCCTGCATGAAGCAGGTATGGAGGAGATCAAGGCTCCAGACATCCAGAGGCCCTCAGAACACAAGAGACCAAGGAAGACCAACAGAGGGGTAGCCGCGCCACTATCCCAGAAAGAGCCGAGGAGAATCCCAGATAAGGGGTCACTCAGCAGCCGCGGAGGGGGTTTCAGTGACATGCCCGGGAGCTCCGCCGGCAGCCAGCTGCGCCAGAGTGACCGAGCCCCAGGCCGAGCAGTGGCGTGTCCAGCGGGGTGGCCTGGGGGGGCACAGGCCACCCCCCCAACCAGACTGGCCACCCCAGGTGCCACCCCAAAGGTAAAACAATAAAATTCAATCAAATATCAAATGTCCGATTATGTTTTCACGGTGAAGCTCAGATATCCGAGTGTAAGTGAATGCAGCATTGGCTTCTGCGCTATGTGCATCACGTTAGCAAAGGTAGGAGAGCCAAGCAGAAAGAGGCACTGCAGGAAACAATTTTTCGGTGAAAGAAAATGAGGACAGAATAAATGTCCCGGTAAGTAATATTAAGTTTGTTGAGTTTAGTAAACTTCGGTGAAATTAGAATCCCAAGGAAAAAATAACACTTAAAGAATTATTGCAGCCGTCGAAAATTTCAGACAGTAGGCTACTGAGGGCAGCTAACATAAGAGTTATGAGTTATGAGTTATAATCTAAGTCGTAACATTGCTGTATGGAGCTGCAGATTTGGTTGCAGGTTAACATAGCTGGACTGGCCATCGGGCATACCGGGCATATTTTTTATTTTTTTGTAACGGCATGAACAATGAGAGGTGGTGGATTGGCCAGATGCAGGTCGATGTGTAAAAATAACTCAGTTGTTTGGTGGTGGCTATGGCGGAGCTTCCACAGAGGCAACAGGTGGATGAGGGAAGGGGAGGCAGGAGGAGAGACCCGAGGCAGCCACCAGTCCGAGTGTCAGGTGAACTTCAGGTAAGAAGTTATGAGCTGCAGTCTATCTGGGTCAGATATGAACCAAGTTTAAGTGGAGTTTATTTTCGTTGTGCTGACTTTTTACCGTCAGTTACAATAACTCGTACTGCGTGCTAGCTAGCATGACGGAGTTTCTATACAGCAGGGTGGTGCTATGATGTTACTGATAGTGAACTTTATTCATAAGGTTAGTTAGTAGAGTTTCCAACGGCTCCTTAAAAATGGAATGGTCCCTCATTCAGAGAAAATATTACACGTTTCATATTGAGCTGAGAAGGAAAGCAGTTTGTCCCGGACTTCAGCTACAATGAAAAAGACACAAAGCTGGAGTTATTCTGTGTCTTTGCTGCACAGCTGCCTCTTCTTCTCTCATTCTCCCCCCTCTCTCTCCTGTTTCTACTTCAGTCATGAAACTGATCAGTGATCAGCTGATCGGCTTTTCTCTCTTGTTTGTTTATCGCCCACTTTGCCAGAAACAGGAAACTAGAGATGGCACGATACCACTTTTTTATGTCCGATACCGATATCATAAATTTGGATATCTGCCGATACCGATATGAATCCGATATAGTGTTTTTTAATCAACAAAACTGTTTTTTTAAATATCTTGCTGCATTTTGTATAAGTTCATACTCAAGTTTAAAACAACAACTAAACTAAAGCTATTCTGTTATACCTGTATGCAAAAAAAAATATTTCATAGTTCAGCAATACTGATCAATCTAATAAACTTAAACCTACACCATCCTCCCTATTCTGGTATTTTAAAGAGTACTTATTAATAAAATAACATACTCATGTGTTCAAACCCAAATGCTGTGGCTCTTCTGAAAAAGAAGACAACAAATAAGATATACTTGACTCACAACTCTTAAAGCAGATAATACATAGGTTAGCGATCCTCTAACTAGAGCAGCGGTCCCCAACCCCCGGGCCTCGTACCGGTACCGGTCCGTGAGTCGCTTGGTACCGGGCCGCGAGAGTTGAGGCTCAGGTGTGAAATGTATAGTTTTCAGGGTTTTTATCGGTTTTCAGCGTTATTTTGTTATCGTTTTTATCGTTTACTCAGTTTTCCTGGGTCTTTTCACGTGTGTTATGAATACATTTTCTTTTTTTCGGTACTGGTACTAGTTTTATTTTGTTGTATTTATCCGCGACACCTTAAAGGCCGGTCCATGAAAATATCGTCGGGCATAAACCGGTCCGTGGTGCAAAAAAGGTTGGGGACGGCTGAACTAGAAGTATTCTATAACCCCCTCTATAAGATTTGCACTGAGAGAGACACGAAGGGACAAAATTAGAATGCGTGTATCAGAGGGACAGCTCAGGTAGAGCACTTTGGGGGAAAAGTTAGAGGCAAGGCTGAGATGGTTTGTACATGTGCAGAGAAGGGATAGCGGATACAAGAAATTGGACAAAGGTGCGTTGATATACAGCGCGATGTTGATGTAATGATAAGGTTAATCAGCAGGGGCACTGTCTTTAAGAAAGCTTATGGATGGCAAAAGGGGAGCACATAAAAGAAGACTGATCAGTGGTGTTGTATAATAAATTGTTTGGGGGAGTAGCTCACAAAGCATAAGTGGATGCTATGTTATTTTTAACAAGCACTAGGAGGACAACACAAAAGGGTGTTGAGCATTAGTTGCCAGGAGGAAGAAAAGAGGAAGACCACAGAGATGATCAATACATTTAGTGAAGGAGGACGTGCAGAAGGCTGTTGTGACAGAAGATCCCAGAGATGGGATGAAATGGCAATGTTGCAAATGATGCACTGTGCTGTGCTGCCCCCTAAAGGGAGCAGTCAAAGAAGGAAAAGAGCGTAATAAATAGAACAGGCTTTTTAGGTAAAAGGCCTGTTCAGTGATTTTTGGATGTGTTTGTGTGTCATAATTGAACTGGACACGATAAATGTAATCTATGATTATATATTATTTTACTAATTGTTATGAATATTTGTTCATGACAGAGTTGAAAGTAGAAGTTCATTAAAGAGAGAGAGAGAGTATATATATTGGCATAATTACAGGCACAACTGAAATACATACTTCTGGTAGTTTCCTAAAAAATATATTATCAAAACAAAAATACTTTATTTGAAACAACAAGAGAACAAACCTCACTGGGTCATTAAATGGTTGCCATTCAACTGTGAAAGACAGCGGTTATAATTCTTAAATATTTTTTCTGTGACTGTTGGATTAAAAGTCATTTTGGTGATGTAAAGAGGCAAAAAACTGTCAAAAAAAAACAAAGGCAAAAGAACAATGTACATGATGTGACAAATGATTTTATTTTTTATGTATGTTTGCATGAATGTATGAAAAACAAAACATATACATGAAGAATAAAACACAAAATGCAAAGATCAGCCTAATATAATCCACAATGTGGCTGCTGTAACTTAGATGGAAAGGAAGAACCATAAACAGCATTGGTTTTATGGTACACTTTCACCAAAACAAAAGGCAACAAAAGACAAATTAGAACAATACAAATAATAGTAAAAATGACCCAAAATCCATCTACTACTGCAGATATTGGATGCAACATATTGCTTTCTTTGCTATAAACACAGTTCATATTGCTCGTGAGTCTATAGCTGATTCTGCATTCCTTTGTTTCTGTCTGGATGTCAGTGACTTTGAAAATCTCATATGGGGGAATTAGGACCTGATTATTTTTTTTCAGGGCAGAGTAATATGTTATGTCAGCGCCAAAGCACGTTTGCACCTCAAAACATGAGATGTTCCTTGCAAAGTCCCACTCATCAGAGCCTAACATGAAGGTGCTAAACCGAACCTGTTTGTTAGAGATGTTCAGATGTAAAAGTGTCTCTGCTTGAAAATGTGTACTAACACATGTCACCTGGCTGTGTTTTAAAATCTGAATGCCTTCAGTTAGAAAAGAATAAAGTGAGCGTGACTCAAATGTCTCCTTTGGTTTCCCAGTTCTATTTGCAGACTTGAAGTTGAGGTTTACAGATTGCAACATAGATTTTGTGTACATATATAAAGCAGCAGAATGATCTTTCTCCAGGTGCTTGTGTTGAGGCTTTCTGGTGTGTTGCTCTGCATTTCTCCAGGCTTCACTGAAGTTTTTACAGCAGGATTCCCATTTTTGCATCATGGAATTATCATTTAAAACTGTAACTTCAAATACGCAGTCATAAAACGTGGCATCACTCTGGTAAAAAGTCAAATTCTCAGTAGATGTCTGAAATTAGGAGGAACAGCTTGTTAAAAATATCCAGCAGATGGCGATATGCATTAAATCAACAGCCAGCATTCATCTTCTTTTAGTCTTTTTTAGATAATGGCTTCAAGAATCACATTAAAGGTGTAAAGATTTCAAAACACTGGCTATGAATATTATGATAAAGTGCCATAAAAGAAACCAAAACATAGAAAACCCTTTATTTTACATCTAACTTTAGCTTGAATCAAAAACAAAATAGTGTAAATTATGCAGTATTAAATAATTTAAAGTGGTATACCTTTTTAACAGTATCCTGCAGGCTGAATGGTAGATGTGTGACAACAAAAATAAGAGTAGTAATGGCACATATGATTGTTTTTCTCTGACACACTCGCGACACTGAAGAAGCCATAATTCATCTGAAAAAAAAAAAGAGAATTTAGTTTAAAGTGAATTATTTGTGTTTTCTTTTCTTTTGTGGAATTAATTGGCAAACCTGTAAAATGTCAGTGTATGTCATGTATCTTGGCACAAACCCCCCACCCCCCACATATTTCACAACATGACTGTGTACAGTTTATTTGCTTGCTCTACACAATAGAAGTGTAATAAAAGCCTGTTTCAGTCTATATGTCTATATATACACATATGTCTAGACATCTATTTGCCCTATATATATATTAGTTTAAGGCATGCTGGGTTGTGTGATAACACTGTGGTGAATCAAAGTCCTACTATGTGAGAGAAAAAAGAGCTACTTGCATGAACTCAGCTTGTGTTGTGTGTCTTTGTAACTAAACTCTTTAGAAAATACGAATTGCCAGTGTTAGACAAAACAAAACTTGAAATGTTTAATAAAATACACCACTGCCAGAGGATCACATCATTAAATGTTATATGCACGGGTTTGTTGGTATGGATATATATATATATAATTGTAGGCTGTGTATCCTTGAGGTGTTAATGGGGTTATTGAAAATGTGTATATGTGCGTATGTGTGTATATACGTATGTATGGATAGATAGAAACATATATGTGTATATATTTAAAAAAAAAAATAAAAAATTACACATAACATATAATGTAATTGCAAGGAGGTATTTCTGTAGTCTATTGATACTAGATAGTGGAAAAGGGGTGGGATTAAATAAGCTTATGCTTCTTCCTGCTCCTTTTTGAACATGGACGTTATTTGGAGTTGTGGTTGCTCGTTTTCCTTTTGTTTGCTTTGTTCATTTGTCTCTTTTAATTCTATTTTTTTATACTTTTTCAACATGTTCAAAATAAAGATTCAATCAATCAATCAATCAATCAGTCAATATTCAAATTGATATTGTTGCAGCTTGTCACAATGAGAGAACTACGTAGGTCCTAAATTCCTGACACAGTCTGTAAGTACGTAATTCCTCTAACATCAATGTTTATAAACTGTCATAGACAAACCAAAATGTAAATAGAAAATTAAATAAATAAAGTTTTTCTCTGTAAGATTTATCTGAACATATCACAGTAAACAGAGGGTAACAACATACTGTAATGTCTCTGTATTTATGTGGAATGGCTAGAAAAGACATTTAAAATATGCATTTCAAAATTCTGTCTATTTTCTTTTTCTTTATTACTTACAATATTATGAACAGCACTACAGTTTAAGGTGGTCTTTTAATTCCAGAGTGAAAATGCTTTAGTTCCCTTTTTGTGTTTTACGGTTGAAAGACTTGCCTTGGTTTTCTGCTTGAGCTAGTCACCAAACAGGATTAGCTAGTATTACCACCTGTAGGACGTCCCTCTTTGAATGTAAACAGTGATACTGACAGAACAAGTGTGCAGGAAAGTTTTCACCCACACGTAGTAAGTACATGTGAATGTGAATCTGCTGCAAACTGAGAAAACAGTTCAAAGTAAAAATTAAAAAAAATTGTAAAAAGCCATTCACTGAATGCGAAGAAGTTAATCAACAAACACAAAATACTGCGTAGCTATCTCATGCAATCTAAGATCCATTTTAGCTCTCCAACCTTTGTGAGAGTGTAGAAGAATTTGCACACAGCATCAGATTTCTTTCATACTTTTTTACACGTGCTTGCACTTACTATTGTATAATATTTATCGATATTCAAACCTCATATTACTTCAATAAGAGTTTCTGTCCTGATGCATGCTCAGTCATCCAGGCAAGGAAATCCCAAGAAGGGACGCAGCGTCATCCAATTGACTTCTTCAGTCTTAGCTGACTGCAAGTTTCCCCACCCTTATAAACAGTACCTTTGCACAATGACTGAAACTAGCACCAGTGGCGAACAAGGGGCTGTGAGGTCATTACTTCAGCAAGAGTAATAAACGTAGATCCAGTGGCAGCTTGACTTACATGCTGGGCTTCCATCAGTTTACTATGAAAGACCAGAGGTTTATCCATACTGTGCATGCATAAACAAGAAAAAAAGCTTCTGGCTTCTCAGCTTGCCAAGCTTAAGTCATTGTTAATTGGAGATGGAAACACCAACAAAGCAGAGACAGCTACACTCTCCTATAAAATAAGTAGAGCTTTCATCTTATCCTGTCAGAATGTCATTGTTTTATATGTGAAGCAGACTAAATAAGGGTTATGTTTATATGTGCAGATTGTGATCCTCTAGTTAGGGTGATGTTGAAGCCTAGAAAAAAAGAGCCATGTATCAGTGTACTGGCAGTTTAGAAACAGTGCCATCGAGTGATCATAACACAAATGTACTCCCATTTGTTTTTCATTTTTGTATGCCATTACATTAGAAACAGCAATTTTATTTTTAAAAAGCCACCGAAATACAACAGCAACAAAAACAAAACAGTTTACTTCATACTATCATTCACAGTCCTGTGTATGATCTAAATGAATTGATGTTGTTAAAAAGAATTAAAGCTCCTAAAACAGAAGAATTTTCCATTCCCGCAAATGTAGAGAAGGAGCTGTAGAAACCCAGTTATTAAAAACAAGCTTATGCAAATGTTAAAGGCACTAGGAACATCAGCAATGAAACAATACAATGGGAAAGGAGCAATTATAAAATTATAATAATTGGCATGATTTTCATCATTCATCTCTTCAGTGTATTATTGTTCTTCAATAGAATAGCAATAGAATAGCATTACAAAGAACAAAAACACATTTTGAAAGAAAAAACCCACATAGACATGCAAAGGGTTTGAATATGTGTACATAGAGTACATGCAAGAAACAGAGGCAATCAGCCAAGCAAACAACTATGCACCACTCTCTACAAGCAACATAACAAGGTGGACAACATTAACATAACACTCAATATAGATTAAGTCAGAAGACCAATGGCAAAATGAATGCTTTGAATCAGCCTAGTAATGTCAGTTTTACAAAAAGGATGTAGAATGAAGGAATAGAAACAAAATATATCTTAGCTATATCTTAGAAGAACATGGTGTCAAAGTGCCTCTGTCTCATTTTGATATTTGCCAAATAACATATACATATACATATAGACCCAGGATATTGTTGACTGCATTGTATGCATTCAGACTATCTAATTTAATTTGGCATGTCTGCAGAAACCCACGACCACTTGTAAGGTCTCTTTTAAGGTTTTACACTGCAGCACACAATAAACATGTCGTGCATACAACACTGCAATACTTACTATAGCAGTTAAGTTTGTAATAAGACCACAAATATTATTAGACTAAATGTGTACAGTGTAGCATTTGATAACACTTCTAGAGTAGTGTGATGACTGATTGCCTCTAATGCTTGAACATTTGCATATGGGGGTATGGCCGTGCTTCATGTCTGCATGTGTGAGGTCAAGAAATGGCTTTTGGCAAATACTCTTATCCTCAATGATAAGAAAACTGAAATTATGATTTTTGGTAGTAATGCCCTTCGTGCCAAACTTCGGGATGCCTTTGGTTTTCTCACTAGTTCTTTCTCTGACACTGTTAGGAATCTGGGTGTCTTATTTGACAGCTCATTTAAACTTGATAAACAAGTGTCTGCTGTTGTCAGATCCAGTTTTTACCAGCTTCGCCTTATTTCTAAGACCAGGCACTATATCCGGTATAAAGACCTAGAAAAGCTCATCCACGCCTTTGTAACGTCAAGGCTTGATTACTGCAATTCACTTTATTGTGGTCTCCACTCTTCCCTTTTACATAGATTACAGACAGTTCAGAATGCTGCAGCACGCATTCTAACTAAAACCAAGAAGTTTGCCCACATTACTCCTGTCCTTGCTGATCTGCACTGGCTGCCTGTCAAATATCGTATTCAATTTAAAATTTTGTTGTTTACTTTTAAAATGACCAATAACACTGCACCAAGCTATCTTAAGGAACTTTTAAACCCATATGCTCCTGCTAGGGCTTTAAGGTCATCCTCACAGTTACTGTTGGTTCAGCCCAGATCTCGACTGAAATCTAGAGGTGATCGATCGTTTGCTCTAGTTGCACCGGAGCTGTGGAACAATCTCCCGATTGGCATCCGGGCGTCTGATTCTATTCATTCTTTTAAATCACGGCTAAAAACATATCTTTTTAAACTTGCCTTTTCTACCAGTTAAATGCTGGCTTGCTTGCAGTGACCTATTGACCTATTGTATTGTATTGTATTAAATTCTCTGCTATCTTTCCATTATTGGTGTCTTTTATCATGGTGGTACAGTCTTACCTTGCTATAACCTATGTGCTGCAGTTTACTCTTATTGGTGGCTTTTATCTGTGAACATAATCCGTTACTTTTATGTATTTGATGTTAATGTGTGAACTGTTTTATTTTTTATTGTTTTATGTAAAGCACTTTGGTATGCCCAAGGCTTTTAAATGTGCTCTATAAATAAAGATTGTTGTTGTTGTTGTTGTTTTGTTGTACCTTTGGGTAATTTGTCATGCAAATCATCTAAGCAAATTGAATGCGTGTCCTATG